TCTTTTTTGAATGGCTGCGAAGCCATGTACTAATAGCTCCCGATACTGTTGCTTTCATAAAATTGCCTTTGTACTGGTGGGCACATGCATCTGGAAAATAAGAATTAGGCTATTTATATTAAGTATAATAAAAACTAAATACCAAGAGGTGAGAATCTGACGTGGATATAAGTGTGCAATATATAATTATGTAATCTCAATTTATTCTAACTTATTGTTAGAATACATGGGCGTTTTAGTGCACACTTAGATCCACATCTGACTCTTATCAGCTCTCTTTTCTCAAAATTATTGTATTCTAATTATTGTATGTCTGTGCAATCTAAGACCACAAAAATATTTATAAAATATTAAAATAAATCTTATAAATATTTTGTAAATTTTTATAAATATTGTGTGCTGTCTGGGATTATGCTTTAAGAATAATATAAGTTAAGAATATAAGTAGAGATATAATATTTAATATATCATACAATACTAACAGTCATAATATCTTCTTGCTACGTAACTGTATTAATTGCCAGCGCTACTGTCAATCTCAACACACTGCCAAGTTCCGGCTTCACACAATTGCACTACAAATAGATCGTTAAACATTAGCCAGTATTGATAGTGTGCGTGGCGCGTGTGTGTGCGTGGGCACGTGTGTGTGTGTGTGTGTGTGTGTGTGTGTGTGTGTGTGCGCGTGCGTGTGTGTGCGCGCGCGCGCGCGAAATATTATATAAACATATAATTATACGTGTTTACATGTATAATTATACAGGAATAAGTACATAACCTCATGAGGTTATATACTTATTTCTGTGCAACAAATTACTTCCAAGAACTTTGTCAACTCGCTAGTATATATTATTAAAATGTTGAAAAAGAAAAGAGATATTGAAAAATTTGTTGACATACCTTTTTTTTCTAGGAATCAAACTATTTTCGTCCAGAAAATATATGGAGAATGATGCATGAAAGATGGCAAGAAGAGCATACCAAAATGTTTCTTCATTTCGATAGTCATTTCTTTTAGCCATCATTTTTTTTCGAACACGATACTTCGCACTGGCAAGGATGCGCTCTAAAACGTGACTCTGTCAACTTTGAGTATCTTTTATCTTTATTCAACATTCGGTGACCAACAAGGATAAAATGGGTGCATTCAGTACCACAACCGCTCATTGAGCGCTCAGTGAGCTCTTGCATTTGATTGGCATATTCCATTAGATCTAAAAATATACTCCAATTAGATATAAGAGCTCACTGAGTGCTCAGTAAGCGGTTGTAGTACTTAGTATCCCTAGAATACAGAGTCAGGCTACCCATAGAACTCTTTTTATTGGATCAGAAGTCAGACCCCCC